TAGTACTGCTCTAATAATAGACCTAATCCTAAATTTGTAGATTCGTCATGATATAACTGCCTAATATATAAGATCTTACGTGGAAGTCACACCATCGACTACGCCAACTCACTGTATCGTATCAATTACCAATACATGATGAAGAACAAGGTTAGGTTAGAGAAGGAACAATATATTTAATATGAATAGAGACCACGCCTGCATGGCCGAGCCATGCCACTCGATCAACTCCAGTCCATTCAATTCATTGTTCGCGCCTTCTCCATTTTTAGGTATTTCTCCGCGTTAAATATTGAATATCTATTTTCTGAGAAGTCTCGTGTTCACAGCTTTGTGGATTGTGTGGCTATTGTCCAATGCCACTACACTACTCTCCCACCAGAATCAACGTGATGTTGGTTCGATACCAAATTGGATGGGATCGTCGTGCGCCGAAGGTTACCAAGACTAGGAAGAATCCCCCGGGTAATGATAAGCTGAAAGATAAATCAAAAAGAAGGCGGCAGCATCTGGTCGGGAAATACATGTAATAATTTTTTTTTAAATCTGCCTTCATGCTTAACACACTTAAAATGACAATTTGGGTGAAGATTATTTGAGCTATAAAAAAAATGGGATTACAGTAATAATAATAAAACAATGCGTGTTAATAGCCGTTGGTTAATAACTTGACGTATAGGTAGTAAGTATTTTGTGTTTAGAAATATTAAAGTAATGAATATTGTAGAAATGTTAATATTGGTATTAGTTTTGGTTTAAATTATGAAACCAATTAACAATTATGCCGGTAACCCGTCCATATGTGATTTCCAATTGCATCTGTATTAGTAGGCTAACTGGGAGAACAAAAGTATTACCATGGAAAAGAATTCCAACTAGTGTTCCAGTTAGTTTGATACGGTTTATTTAGTTACGGGGAGATTTCCTCAACCTCATTTTTACTTGACCGTGATAGAATTTAGTAATACTACTAATACACATGAATGGTCATCAAAATAAAATTTAAATACGTGAGTGATGATTATATGAATTTTGGACAGATAGCTAGGAACAAATCGCTAAACATGAGTGTGTTCGTAAGAGACATGCTCTGGACTCAATGTTCTGATCTGCAATAGACTATTTATTTATATTTATACTTGCTGGCTGATTGGGCATACAAGTTAGTTGCAAGTATGCAGTTTATCATAAGGCGGAATAAGATTAAATTGAGATATAGTGGTTATAGGTTATTAAAATCAGTTAGGCCTGTGTCATATTACGAAGTGATGTGGTGCCGCAGGATGTATTCGGCTAAATAAGCTTTTACAAGATGATTAACAGTGAGTGATGCTCATGTGATTATCAGGAAGAACACAAGTTGTAACCAAGGGGAGTACACTCCCAACTCACGTCTATGATAATGGCTTGAACCTTAGTCAGTGTTGGGGTAAATTCGACATTGATGTTTTCAGTTTGCAGGAGATTTGCTCGACTGCTTATACTGATTATTTGCATGCATGATTGTGTCGCTAAACCATCAATTAGACTGACAAGGTTTTGAGATATTTACTGAATGAGCAACTGATAGAGAAACATACTGTAATCATCTGTGATGGATGAAGATACCAAGAAAACAACACCATTTAATGGTAATTATAAGTCAATTTGTTGACCGATTTCGTTAATAGTTTTATTAATTTTATCAGTCATATTACGTGATTGTCAAGTTATGACAATGCTTTATGACGATATCCTGAAACTATTAAATTTAACTAGTTATAGTGTTGATTAAGGATTAGTCAGTAGAAAAATAGGTATTGTTGCTTTAGGTGATTCAAAATCATCAGAAATTTATAACGTTAAAGAATCCGAGACGCCTAATTTAATTATAAATTTCAATTCAGAAATATTCGTTTAGTGTTAATTCTAGTAGGCTACTGAGTTTTGATTTTAAACGTTTGTTTAGCCAACAGCTACCTGGGGATTTAGTTATTTCACTAGTGCAGTTGATAGTACCTAAATTTTTAATCTTATTATCTAAACTATGTTCGCATTTTAGGCTGCTAATATGATAAACTAATCCATAAACCCAAATACGATTAGCAACAACGACTATGATGGGTTTATTGATAAATGTTAAAGGCGATTCAGATGATTTCTAAATTTAGAAGACATGGAGATATAGTGTAACGTATGTATGGGCCAGGTTAACATGCAGGTTGTTGACGTATATGACGATTTAAAAATAATGAACATGACCAAAAAATAGTTTTAAAGTTTAGACTGCTTGTGAAACTTCAGGCAGGAATATGATGTGTTATAAACATTCCATAAGAAGTTACTGCATTCAGCCTAGGGACACTTACAAATATATGGCAAAAGGAACCGGAAAACATATACATGTTAAGTAAAAAAAATCATTAAGTAAAATAGTTGAACTCGCCTGGGTTATTTTTGAAAATTAGATTATTCAGTGGACGATATATATAACGCTATTCGTGAGTAGTATTGATCCAAAAGCATCCAGAATAAAACATACAGTATGGCAATTAATTCCAGGGTGCTTGATGCTGTTGAGGTTTTTGACACTCGCTCGGATCAGAACAATCGAATGAATCCAGATAATTGTATAGTTGTCATTGAACGAACCATCTAAAATGAACTTATGATTGCAGAAAACTTATAGCTGGAACTCACCGTATGTTTTTGGAGTAGTCATCCTCGTTGTTTGGCAATGGAACTCGAGAATATGAAATTAGGCAGGCAGTGGTCGGAAGAAAAGATATTACAGGATAGTGCATCGTTTAAAACAGGATGAGGTGTTAAGTGAAGGAACACTGAGAATTATATCCAGATAACTATTTAGTCCTTGATCGCATTGTTAGTCAATGTATATTTACGCTATTTACAGGTCATATTTGCTAGAGCTTGATGTTTAAACAAGACTATGTCGCTGAAGCATGTAAATGCTATCACAGCTTGTTAACAAATCATCAAAGCTAATTAGTTAATATAGACGACCAGTTTTTATTATCGATTGAGCTAGTTTGTCATGAGGACTAATCAATATAACATTACGATAATGCATGTGAGCATTAATCAGAGGACTATTGGAATACAGGGTTAACATAAATATAAAATCGATCGAGAAAGTTGAAGTGGAAATAAGGATTAATAATATTAGGTTGCGTTTCTTTAGTTGGGCTCACCGATGTAGAACTATGGTCTACTATGATATTAGTACTGCTCTAATAATAGACCTAATCCTAAATTTGTAGATTCGTCATGATATAACTGCCTAATATATAAGATCTTACGTGGAAGTCACACCATCGACTACGCCAACTCACTGTATCGTATCAATTACCAATACATGATGAAGAACAAGGTTAGGTTAGAGAAGGAACAATATATTTAATATGAATAGAGACCACGCCTGCATGGCCGAGCCATGCCACTCGATCAACTCCAGTCCATTCAATTCATTGTTCGCGCCTTCTCCATTTTTAGGTATTTCTCCGCGTTAAATATTGAATATCTATTTTCTGAGAAGTCTCGTGTTCACAGCTTTGTGGATTGTGTGGCTATTGTCCAATGCCACTACATATGCTTGGTTGTTTGGGGTCAACTCTTAACCAACCAACCTAAGCTGTTACAGATTCACCTTGAGTTCATGAGTATTAGATAAGGTCAGCTACTATTACTTGTGCAAAGCATAACATGGGCTTAGTACCGTTTTGCAATGCTTTTATTATTTTGCTCCCATTTAAGTATTCCCATGCATCTGCGTCTAGTTTAACAGGAAGACATACAAGCAGAGTAAGCGTCTGATAAACTAAAAGTCCCAGTTGTCAGAAAGATTCTTAACATTTGTCCACAGCCAGCTGCATTTAATTGAGACACAGAACACTCATCTTTTAAGACTGTATACTGCTGTTTTTCGGGCAGCTAAAAGCTCAGACGCATAGCTATCTTGCTACCGATGTTATTGCTGGGAAAATTGTTTAGTTACAGTGATCATGAAATATGGTCAGTAATAGATGTACAGTCTAGAAATAAACACCAAACATACTTATCGCTATTTTATAATGTATGACAGCAATTGTTGTTGCTTTTCCTGATAGGAACGGGCTTGGTTTCTAGGGGTTTCCTACTCGCCGACATTTGAAGGGCGAAGAAACTTCCGTCGTCAGATTTTATTTCTAACAGACCTCTTCATGTGCTGTTCATTATTTTTTGGCCTACGTAAGTCGCCTCCGAGTATACTTGAGGTGCCTTCGCGTTAGTTTGTAAATCGATCGACAAGGTCCCATTCGGTGTGTCTCGATTGCGTTTACCGATATTGCTTTTAGCAAAATTCACCACTGCAGTGGCTTTGGATAGTGAGGTGTTTGTATCTGAGCAGCATTGCTGACAGTACCATACGCATCTGTTTTCCCTGAAGTCTTTCAAAGCTTCAGGTGTAACGTTGATACAAACTTCATAGTATCTTCCTTTCGCTCATCGCACTGCATGCTCTTTTCCATAGGCTATAGACGGTCTGAGTGTTGGCAATTGTATATATTGCACTTTCCAGTCATCAGTCAAAAATTAAAAAAAACTGGGCATGAATGATACACAAAGACGAAGGACACTGATCACAAAAATGTGCAAAACCGTGAACTGTCAGATCCGAGATTGCAAACAAATATTTGAAAAACTAATGTTCTCAAAAAGTGCAGATGAAAAATCACTCGAAAAAAAACGATACTTCTGGGCAATTACTTTGACTGAAATAAATCCAGACAAAGCGAAAAATAGTTATGATGAGTAATTAATGATCAATACAATACCACGGTGCTTTTTAATTAGCACTCTGCACAACGGTTGAAAATGATAAAATTATAACTACTTCATCGAATGAAAATAATTCATATCATATCATCGTATATGTTCGCTTAAATTTTGATGCGATTTCTTCCTTCTTTTGCAGCATGAAAAAAGGGTGACTGTTTAAATGCCTTAAATGTGTTAACTTGGGGGTCAAACTAGGTATGACTGTTTTAAATTGACTGTACCTATAGATTTTTGATATATCTATTGATACAATTTATGAGTGATAAATTACTCCATCTCGAAGAATCATTGCGTAATAATACTTCCGTATCCATCAATGATGGTAATATTAGTAATGGTGACTCTCGTTTAAATCAAAATTCCCACTATTCTTCACGGAATTATTCTAACGATCATGGTTCAGAATCTGCATTGTTGGAGGATTGTGACCGGGATTTCGTTACTAAACCAGTAGTAACAAGACCAACACTAGGTGACAAGCGTAACAGTACTGCGACTGGAAGTAGTAGCAGCGGCATTGGTACAATGCCAGGCGGGAATAATCGCACTGGATCCAACATCATAGCTTTAAGTGGCTACGAGAAAGACAAATTTTCAATAACTTCTCGTGAAAGCGAGAAACAACTAAAAATGCCCGTTGTTACTCAAGGTACTGCATTTTCAAATTGTAGTTTTATAATTTTCTTGACGGATTAAATAGTTTTTTAGACCTCGTATATGGTTTATGCCAGTTCAGATTTTCGAGTTTTTACTTCCTTGTACTATGATTGATGTTAAAATCCTGAATATTTTATAAGTTAAATTAATATATGCAGTCGGAACATAAAATTGAAAAACGAAATTCGCTTACAAGATGAGCGTGCTAACGTTCATAATTTATGTAATGCACTTGCAGTAATGACCACGCCTTTTCTTACAGAAGTATGAGTTAGTCTTACATAACCACGTCCTTGGTTTTTTTTATACTTTTTTTCAAAATATTAGCAACGAGCAGACGAATATCACACATTGAATAAACCTTACAAAATAACCGCTTACCTAAGACATGTGTACCCTTACAAAGTTGAATTATTCATTTTCCGTTTTCTTTATTTGCCTAGCAATAAGTCTGTCCCTCAGTTCAAAACTTCTTAGACTTAGTTACCAGAATCTGGAAGTCATTATATACTCATCCCTCCGGTTATTTTGTAAAATTTAAATACTAGGATAATATTTCCTCAAGTGTTTGCATTGTTACTAATTTTTTTAAACATACGTTGGTCCTTAATTATTAAGTTGTTGCGAATTATATTGTTCTAAGTTGGCGTCACATTCTCAAAGTGGTTAGGTAATGACAACCAAACTTGACTATTATATTACATTAACATACATACACATACATGATGAGTTGTTTCGACTCCTGACACCTTTTAGTACCTAATGTTCAGGAAGCATCTTGTTTTTTCATGGGCATCTAATGTTCAAGAAATTCAGTAATGTTTGAAATAAAGTTCATCAGACACCTAAAGAGACTGTTTATTAAAAGCATAAAAAATATTGAGTAGTTAGATGAAGTTAACCGTTTTAATTCGAAAATTTAATGATTGTGTGGAAATTATTGAAAAATCTGAATGGATCTTTTGATGACAGTTGCCAGCGCTCTGTAAAGCTTTAAGTGGCTTACGGAAAATTAATAATATACATCTTCGCATGTCAGTAACCGAGTCGGTCGTAATCGATCCTCTTTTTAATCGTTTTATTTTTTAATCAAACTGTGATCTGTTATGTTATCGAATTTTCAGCCGTAAGGAATTCACGTTTTTAAATGAGTGTTTACCAGCCCCCTAAAATAAAAATAGGTAAAAGCCCTTAATTATTTACTACATCGAGACAAGGTTTTTGTATACTCGGTGAGGTGAACAGATTCTGTTGACAATTTTCTCACCTTTTCAAGTGATCTTGTTTTTGTTTAAATAATCCGATATTCGTTTGGGTGTATCCCACTAAGCAGTTGTAGTATGTCGGTAAGTGACAGACATTAACTGTCTATAATTTTCTGTAAGGGCATAAGGTTTTTTGATGTTTTTCCAAGTCCCACCATCAATCTCAATAATATGTATGAAGTTTTGCTTACAGAGTGCTTATAGTTACTATACCCTATAGGTTGACGTATTTCTCATGTAAATCGTGTTGCCTGTGAAAAAGATGATTTTTACTATTTCACGACAACTTTAGTCTAGGAGTGTTCTTATTCCACGTGTCAGTAAGGACTACTTCTCTAGCATTCTCGAAAACTTGGTAACAGTGATACGTGCAGTGTTGCTTTGCTAAATGTCCCAACCTGGTTACATAGTCAAATTCCGTTGATCGGAATACAAAAAAGTTGAAATATTAACTTAAAGCATAATTCGAAGTGGAATTAGTTTGAATTTTCAGGATCCTTTTTCTACAAATAAAAAGTTTCTTCCAAGTGATTATAGCTGCCTTACAGTCGTCTGAGTTTCATTACGATAAGAAATTCACCGGATACATATAAATCTGGTTTTATAAAAAGTCCACTCTGTCATTCTTTGAAACATTCTTCAGTTGTTTTTAGGCAACTAGTAAGCTGTAAGTGTATGATCACAAATATAAGGATAGGAAATGAAGTAGTCTAACGCGTCGACAACTTCACTTATCTTGGAAGTCCTATCAGCCCTGATGGGTTGGTGTCTGACGAAATCTCAGCACGGATTCAAAAAGCTCGTTTGGCTTTTGACAAATCACGTCACCTATGGTGAAGGTGAGATATACGTCTATCATAGATCTCTTAGAAATATTGCCCGCATCTGTTGGAATCATCAGGTAAGTAATAGTGAGGTCAGATAATGGGTAGTAGTAAATGATGGTAAAACATTTGGTGAGGTTGTGAATCTGTTATAACTTGTGGCCGAGTGAGCCTTGTTATTGAATAACGTAACGATACCGCCAATTAGAGAGCAATGACTTATCGATCGGACCAATGACGCGTAAAACCGTACGAGCAGTCTAGAGTGTTTATTGGTCCTGCTTCCTGTCTAGCCCAGCCAGTTAAACCCAGAACACCAGTCTCAGCCTCTGTAATATGAATCATTTTATTCCAAACATACTGAGTTTATATACCAATCAAACAGACCACAACGTATCAATAAAATATGAAACAACATTTGTACAAGAATTATCCAGATGTGGCTGTGAATGAGGGAGGTAGTGATTAATAGACAGGGCATAATTCAAGAATGGTAAAACGTATAATAATAGTTCATAAATCAAAATGAAGCTTATGATAAGAAGAATATGAATATGCACAGTTTAGTTATTTAACAATTATACGATAAAAAATATACGTTTAGTATTGGTCCATAAATGGATACCAAATGTTACCATTCATTATGCTTATCGGGACATAACAGAATCTCCATCGGTTGAGATGGCCGGACCATGTGTTACGTATATTTGAACACTGATTACCATGACGCGCAATGCTGACTATTTTTGGAGACGGTTGGAAGGAAGTGAGAGACGACCAAACCAAAATGTGGCGTCAGTCCGTAAAGTCACTAACTTCTGGTCTGAGTCGTGTTGCTAGAAGCAGACTACTTGGTTGGAGTCCGCGCGACTATCGTAACCAATGGTTGGAGACTCTGGGTGACATGGCTCAGATTCGACCACAATGGCGTCAGTGTATACACTCTCTGTCTTCCCTTAAACCATGAAATTTAAATTATTTTTTAACTTTCTTTCTACGAAGTAATTCTTTCTCTGTGTATAATACTCTTATACATAATCTTTCTTTTGTATATTACTACCGTTGAAGTAACTACTTCTATGAATTCGGTGATAATCTTGTTGTAATTTTTCATACCGAGGATGTCTGAAATAAGCTTCCTAGTTTATCTCTGTTACATTTGCAACAGTGATATCGCTACGTATAAGAGAGTTTGTATCGTCGTTACGATTTGTTTTTGCTTGGTGTAGACTGATATTAAATAAACACTAAATTAAGAATTATGAAGCAATGTAAAGAAACTGTCAAACCCGTTGTATGCCGGCTATTTTTTTCAAATCGATAATACGCAAATATGGGACTCGTCAGCTGGATTTACCTGCATTTCAGGGTTGATGTTCACTTCGGGACTCAAACCCGGCATTGATCGCTTCAAACGCCATCGCGTTATCCACTTACCTACTGAGTCCTGATAGTCCCCTGCTTGTGCAATGGGGTGAAGTTTAAATTTACTTGGTATTGTTTTACTTATAACTTCTTGTTGTTATTTAGGAATGCAATTGACCAGTCTCTTGTGGGCATATGCACATCCTGCGCAGATTGCCTCGATAGAGCTCTACGTCACAAGATTTTAAGCGAAGATGGATAGTGGCTAGCAGTGGAATCCCAAATAGAACGAATCCCACGTCCTGGATTCCACTGCTAGCCACTATCTATCTTCGCTTAAAAATTTTGTGACGTAGAGCTCTATCGAAGCAGTTTGCGCAGGATGTGCATATGCCAACAAGGCACTTGTTTGGGGTCCTGGTGATTAGCGTTACCAACGGTTTAAGGCTTTCGGTGACATTGTTCAAAATTGTACCCAGTGGCATAGGTGTATTCACTTACAGTATTCCCTCAGGTCCTAAGTTTATAAATCTTTTAATAAATTTTCATTTTATTCTAGTAATCATTATTTTATCGTTCTACATTGAGTATAACTCTCTAGTTGACTATAAAAGCTGCTAGTGTTATATTCCAGACATTTTATCTCAGGTATCTTTGAAGCATTATTAGTTTTCTAGGAATTTAACTAATGAATTATGTCAATCTTTAACCTAGAGTTCCTTGTCTTCTGACTTAGTTAACGGTTACAAATCAGCATCCAAATGTCTTACATAGAACATTTCAAAGTTAGTCCCAGTAGTACGTTTATATTCATACATTACCTTTCTTCACTATTCTACGTATGCCTCTTTCCTGTTAGTTTTTTTCCTTCTATTTTGACTAATTTTGAGATTTTCTGTGACGTTAGTTCAACATTAAACAAACTCTTCTGTATGGTGTTTGTTTTGAAGAAGCTTTGGTTCTACTTATCTAGACGTTCATTTTCATGAATTTTTATATCTCGAATTCGTACAAGAGTTACGTTTCAATATTTTACCATTTACTTATTATTGCGTAAATCAGGTGCACATGTTTATGCTGCGTCATATTTAAACTATTCTGTTACACACATATAATCATAATTTACACTTAAAAAGTAAACTTCATTATCCCTCCCCAATTAGTTTTATAAAGCTTAACTTCAGTTCACTACACGATACACTCATATAACCATGATTCATGCACATTGTTAACACCTGCTTTTACATTTTCTGATTACTTATTTAAAAACATGCGCATATTGATGTGTACACAAGATGTTTTTGGGTATAAAACAAATAGACATATTCATAGAAGATTCACTGAATAGTTATTCCCTTTTATATTTTTTTACTTGTTATACATTAGTATTTTGCTATTTGATTTTAGAAATGCTTTCTATAAATAGTGAATTTAGGTTCTGTCCGAAATAGAAAATACTGAGACCAAGTGAGCTATAGAAGCATATGTCATGCATAAATCCCGTTTTGGATGACTAAGGGCGACTATAAAGAAGCTGTAGGTATACTCTTTTTGCTGTTAACACTAATCTCTGATTTGTACTTGCGAACTTGTTCATCTTCACATATCCGTTAATGATCCGTGTACTCCTAAAGTCAGAAATGACCACTCATATAGTCAGTCTATCATTAGTTCGGAGCATTTTGTTATGGAATAACACATAAATCATATACTTTTCCTTAATACACCCTTATTTTTCAGTATCACATAACTATCATCTAAAATGCATCGCGCAAACTGACCTTTTATAATCTTCCTTATAGTATAGTAATGCAACTCAGAAATCACTGGAAAAGTTACTGGTTTTATTAAATTGTCAATTTTAGGGGTATATATATATCATTGAACCATTCATAATAGTGAAGCAAATGGGGTATCTTTCACTTTAACTTTGTGATTGTTTTTGTATTTAGGCCGTTGATAAAAGTCTTTATTACTGTATTAAACAATCACACTTATAAAATGTTGCTTACGCCTGTTACCGCTCGTGAAGAAGCCTAGGTCTCCCATCAGCACTTTAATCTGGTTGGCGTTTTTTTTTGCAAGATTTTTTCTACGGAGTGAAGTTGCCGACCCTTCTTTCTACTCGGGCTTGGGACCGGCAGTTACTCGAGAAAAGTTATAGACGGAGTTTATGAAATGTATATTATTTTATTCTTACCATTGATCATATATTAATTCTGCTTTTTTCTTACATACTCTTTTTTTGGGCAAGTCCTTTTTTCGTGTGCTGTAACCTTTTAGTTCTACACATAGCTCTGAAAGCATTGTCACACTGACTAGAAAAAGATTTTCTTTATTGTTGTTCAGCAGATGAAGAATATTAAGTAGTAACAAGTAATGTCATCTGTCAATCACATTCTCGTTTTCGAACTAATCTTTAGAATCCCTGTTTTATTTTAGGATTAACTTTTCTACCTAAATTGAATGTGTTGATGATGAATCCATGGGCCAATGGTTGATAATTAAACGTCTAGCCTTAAGCGAATGAATAGTGCATGTTTTAAAGGACCGAATTTGCCATCTGAAGCTAAAATTCATGAGACTAAACTTTATTTTATTGTGTCAAGAAGATTTTTCTTTTGCCGTAACTACTTATTAAAGAACTCTGTTACCTGTCATTAATTATTTGCATTAATTCAAAATGTATATATGAGTATATCTTGTTCATGAAGAATGAGCTAATTAATATTAAATGTTCTCTTTAGTCTGTCTGCTTTTTTATATCGGTCATGTTGTTCACAAAAGTTGTGTTATGGTTTTCTATTTCAAAATCATTGCTAAGTAATATTGACATTCGTTTGACCAGTTTTAATTTTGATGGAAGTAAATAACAATATTGTGGTTTCAGTGATAACCTCAATTCTTGGCCTCAGCTCTCAGTGTGTTCATGAGTGTTCACCGTCAAGGAAGCCGCAATAAGGGCAGAATCGCTGTTTAGCCTTCCTTGGTTTTCAATTATTCTTCAGCTGACATCAATCCTTAACTAAAACCACTTTTAACTACATACCTGTTTGAACAAATACTTAACGATATACTTATGGATACTACTTTCAGTTATATTGGTTCGAAGTTGGATGATATTTCTAAAGGATCGACAACATTTAATTCATATTAATTTATCGGTCACGAATATAGTAAATAAGATTATCTTGATATATATATTTATAGTGCAATAAATTTTATCTGCAGCTATATAGAAAAAGAATCGTTAAAATAAAAATACTTTTGATGTATTTCAACCTTTTAATGAAAACCATCAGCGCATTTTAGTGAGAAAGTTTTCCAACAACAATCAAAGAGTTTGATTGTCCATTTCATGACCAAGCTACCTGTTGTATTGAATTAAATTTACATCGTACATAAATTCCTTATTAAATGTGGTTTTAATGGGCATAAAACAATTTCTATTGTAAAGCTTTATTATTCTGTATTATTTGTAATGAACTTATATCCATCCCTCTTTCCTAATTTTAGATCATTCAAATGATAGTCAGAATAAATCTAGAGAATTATACCGTACTCAACTAACCGATTCACAATTAATGAGACGTAAAACATACGGAAATGCACGTTCTAGCAGTCCTACAGTTAGTACAGATACCAACTCCGAAACTCATGTTCCAAATGAAAATTGTAATGATCAATCTGCCTTATCAAGGTCAAGGAAACGTGCAAGAAGTGAAGTCCCTAGGATGGGATCTACTGGTTCAAATAATTTATCATCGAATCCTTTACTCAGATCGGTTAATGATGACCAAGAAGACAGTGAAGACGGCGAGCGAGTTGCTTTGAATAAAGGTAATTCACGCTCAGATATTGAAGAAGATGGATTTCATACTGGAAATGATTTCGACGTAGGCATTCGTGGTAGACACCGCCGTCAAACGTATCAACTAAACAGCCGTCAGAGAGACTCATCTCTAGGTCGGTATACACGATCGACAGCGTATGGTTCTTCAGGAGGCACATTGCCTCGTCGGCAGCGTATGACAGGGAGTCTAACTCGGGCTACCACAATCAGTGGTGTTGATCCACATGGTACTTTAAGATCAGCATGTAGGCTTGCTCACTCTATTCGTGCTGGTATTATTCCACCCCCACCATCAGAGCCTCCTCCTGCTACACCACTCTCTGGTTCGTTGATATCTGAATTAGAATCTATTGGACCAAATGCAGTTACTGGTTTACTAAATCCATTCGCATTGCAGCTGCATAATTCACAACAACAACAACAGCAACAACAGGCTTTAGCAGCAGCTGTTGCAGCAGCCGGTGGATTTCCACAAGTCTTATCAGGTGTCAATCAGAATAATCTAACCAATTCTTATATGCTTAGTCGTAAGTTTGAATCATTTCTCTATCATAAATTGTTTGTCGTATAATTGACTCATGAACTCGACTACTGAATTACTATAATATCCACAAAAACCCCTTTCTGTTAATATTGTATAATTGCTATTATCTTAACTCTATTGTTTTTAGTATTAAGACATTTGGTTTCATAGTGTTTACTGAGATTTTGAACTGCTTTAACATTAATTGTTTCGTCTTGACTACCTTTGTTGTTTACTGGTGTTTTTTTACATTCAAGGTCATAAAACTAAGCCAATCTTATCTTTGTATAATTATTTGTAAGGGAGAGAGTTCATCAAGTGACCTTAAGTGACTCATTAGCTAGTCATTTTTTGCCGTTCGTATGCCAGTAGTTGTCTGTACGTAGAAAAAATAAGTGAGTCCGGGTGATAAATCCAAGGCAGAATCAGTGTTTGTTTGACGTGTTATTAACACGATAATATGTACGTTGTTTGTGATAAACACCTATAATTGTCATCGGATTATTCAACTACGGTAATTAATGTATGTTTTTTTTTATGCTGACTTTTATTAAGAAAAATCCCGGAATCAAAAAATATTTTAAGTGGTCGAAGTTTGTTGAAAATCGAAAAAGCCTAAAGTATTTGTCTTAAGACTATCTTCTAAGCACATCGTGATTATTGGTTTAAAAGCATAGGGTATTGATTTCAGGTAGATTATAGTTGAGACATTTCAAATTCACCATCTGATGTTTGTTTAGTTGGCTGATATCGGTAATTTAACTTGATGTAAACCGTATGTCCATAAGGTATTACTGGTAAAGATCGAATATCTAATTTGAAGGATATGGTATAAATACCTTCTATATTCGTCATTTTTCTAGTTGGTTTCAATCTGTTTAATATAAAGTATCTTCAAATAACTCAATCATTTACACGACATAAATGATAATTTCATTTTTATTTTGAATTTCCATTTTTCTCGCTTTTTTGAATGGGATGATTTTGTTTAAATGTCAAATTTGTCTGTTTGTCTGTTTTTGTGCGGATACGAAAACCTACTTTGCTGAAAACATTTGTAGTAGTATGCCTGTTTCACAATATTATATTGTTTGTTGGGCACTCAGTTTACCGTCAAAGCGTTATTACGTCGGTTGAATGCTTAATCTAAAGATACTCAGTCCAACATGTGTATATTTTGCATGTTCATATTTAATTAGTTTTTGGTGCACCGAAATCATACTATTTCATAAGTTTTATATTAAATTTTTCGCTTTTTTTGGGGATTTTTATGATAAGTATCATAATTTTGAAGAAATATTAAGCGGCTTTTGTGTAAGAACCTATACGCTTGTATTGCTTCATGAAAACTTGATTTCCTTTGAATTTACATCATCAGGTATGAGTACTACAGTATCGTTCTAATTTATTGTTTCCTAGCAATATTTAGTTTTTAGTGTGAGAATATGGTAAGATTAAATTATTAATATTAACATTGAATCGAATGATCATGTTTTCACTACAAATAATTGAAGAACATTACTTCCAGCTGACGAATGCAAACCATTAAAAATTAAATTAACAATAAACATGTATCTTTGACAGTCGGAAGTTCTATCGCATTGATTGTCTTACGACTACAGTCACAACATATCATGTGAAATGTTTAAGCTAACCTATGGAAACATTTCATGTAACAAGTTTCTTAATTGTTTAACTAAAGCACACATAATTGGTGCTATTCGCATCTTTTTTTATCATTTCATTTACTCTGAACATTAATAAAATTTCAGATGTATGTATTATAATGGACTGCTTATTTGTTTATTCTAACAATATCATCAGATACTTGTTCAATAATGTTTAAGAATAATACCTTGTTTATTCCTTTTTTGAATCTGCAGATAAGAATATCTTTGCGTATTATTATTTATGCTTCGCTTTATAATGTTTTAGTAATTACCTTTCTGGGACTAAACATGAACTCGATAATCAACTTGTAAATCCAAAATTCCTGTATACCTACCTACTGTTCTCTCAAATTTTGATCTCCTATTCCTCCTTGTCTCTTTTTTCTCCTCTCAAATTTATTTCACTGTATTATACTCTTTAAGTAACATCTCCAAACACTAATCCTCCCGATTACTGCTTATACTCTTATTACCTCTACTACTACGGGATTTGAATCGACCACTGCATCTCTATGCTAATGTGATGTGGCAACTCGGACTGATGTTCGTACGTACGAAGTTCTATGTTGTTACTGACTGACCTACTGTTTAGAAAGATAGTGTCTCTCATTCTCATGTAATAAGTTTGCGTATTTTGAATTCTTAATTGTTCTCATTATTTATTTAGTCATCTGTTAAAACTGTTGAGTTCATAATCACTCATTTGTTTTAGCAAAATATTATTCTTAATACCAAGCAATGGACATTTTAATTATTAGTCTACAGTTTTCTTATTAAACCAATGAATTTACTCGAAAATAGAGGATTTCTTGCCTAATAATATCTAAACAGATGTTATTTTTGTTGTCTAGTTTCTCGCTTTATAATTTCAAAGGATGAGTCTATAGTGCGAAGAAAATAAACCCTTCTATCATTTGTAAATTGCCGATTTTCACAAAACCTTTTTCAAGAAGGATCGATGTATATCGAAAACTGTTACGATATCATCTAGAAGAACAACTTCATTAATTAGTACTAGACTAAAATGGTTTCTATAGATAATAATTATTATGATATTCTTAGACCCAATCCACTCGAACAATACTAAACTCTAAACCGAGTGAATATCGAAAATAGAACGATACTATTTGACCAAATTTCATGTATTACTTACGTTAGCTATGAGGAAATAATATTGATGATTTTAAAATTCAATCTATACAACTGATCGTTCGTACATTGTTCTCCTATCCTATCTTTGGTATAATCGTGATGTTATTCTGGTCGTAAAATGTCGGGTTTACAACCCATCTATGGAGGGGCAGTTTTCCTTTCTGTTTGCTAAACCTTAATTTTTCGAGTTCAGGATGTTAGATGACTCTGACGTTCAGTAACAACATCATGTTTGCAATATCGAGGAGTTCATTTACAATAATTCAATTACTGTCAATATTTTACGAATGTGATCCTAGCGGCTTTCCAATCGTCAATTATTTACTGACTCTGGGACTGGGTGGAAAGGTGGTCAGTTTTTAAAATAGCACCGTGATGTGAAACGAAGCTGTTACAGAACTGGCATTTCAGTCCATTGAGACCCCTTGGTTGGGGTTGTAAATCTAATGCGGATCGTAAGTTTGAGACGTTGTCGGACGTGAATTAAAACAGAAACCAATCGAGATCCTGTTATAGTTTCCCTTCAAATTGTAGTCACCAGTTTTCATACAATATTTTTATTAATTGGCAGGCTTTTGATCAAGTTATTGAATTCAATTTCGCGTATAGTTCAACAGAATTAGATTAAAATTTTTCAGGGTGATCGTAACTCAGTGTTTCGTATGTTCATCTCTGTCAAACTTATTGCAAACAGTATGGTATATTTCACCATTTTCAAACACTTACATCAATCTTTGATATTTCTTATGTTGTCTTCGATGAAAATTACTGGTAGATTATCCTTTTAATGTTTAATTAGTTTAACTAGTTAGTAGAACTTGTTTACGCAAGACTTCAGTGATTACTGTGTATTAATCCTGCTTTAGTAGTACCGCATGAATAACTTCGTAAATATAACATTTCACTGAATTCCGCCATTGTATTGTATAGGTTTCAAAATTTATCTAAATAATTTGTACATACATTGTAGCTATGATCTGCCACTCTCTTTTCTGTATTACACCTTATTTTGCTAGCTTTGTTCATTTTTTCATAATTTAGAAGAATATCAGTTTCTTCTTATTAAATTTGTATGTTATCTCGTATGGATAATGAATATAAATTTTTTTGTTAAAAAAAGTACGATTTTTAGATAGATATGTAAAATAGAGCAATTTATTATGTGAATTCTGTATTATACATTGTAATTTAACAACTGTACATTATGCCCTTTTTGTGTGCGCAAGAATGTGTATACTACGTCGATGATGAACACTCTTAATCTATAAAAAAAAGAACATTTACATGGTACGTGATTTTATGCCAACCCACTTACAGAAGATACGATTGTTTACATCATCCTGAAATATTTATATTTGTGTATGAATTCGTTGCATTCCACTTCTGTATGTATCTTTTTGTAGTAGACTTTGTGACCTTGTTATCTAGTGGCTCTTGTCATTGTCACTATTTACATGTGAAATTCGTCTCACATTTAAATAATCACCTTTTGTGTATTCATGTTCATGCGTAATGGCTCAATAAAATAAAGCAGTTTGATAGATAATGATTAACTATTTAGTTTGTGGCATTCACAATCAGAAGTAGTATATTTCTAGCTGAAATTTTAAACCTTGTTCAAACTATTGATTATAAACAATTATTATCAGGATGTGTTAAATAAAATATATCGGATAGTTTTACGAACTTATAGAACTTACCTGTCACATAATGCTAGATTGAAACTAAAAAGAAAAGAAAGGATCGCTATTTGAATTGATATGTTAGAGAATTTTTATCCTTGATTTCATAAAATCGGTCCACCTAAACAAATTTTCACGTTTAATCTGACTCGAGTCATTATTACTGTTTGTTTTTCTTTGAAAAGAAAATTAAATTATCACATTTGCGAATTATTATCATCTTTTTCATGAAGGAAAATAATACCATAATATTTGTCATAATTATCAAGTAATGAAGTTTTCGAAAGGTTAACATTTTTGGAGAGGAATGTATATTTGATCCTTCTTTTCCTGAATTTAGTATCTAGTGTGCTCCTACATAAAACATGGTATATTTGTTGTTATGGATTGAAGTCTGTGAGAAAATCAGTCAATGTTTGTGTTTTTTATTTAACTAACATCAGTCATTTTCGACAATTTAATATATTTCATTCCACCCATTTCAGTTTTCAGCAGGATTT